CATGGGAAACTCGCTTAGATTCTGGTCACTTCTCATCTTCTCATTTACACTCTTTGTAGAAGAGCCTGTCTGCTCCAATGGCTTCAAGCATTCTCATTATTCCTAGACCCCCCAATATTTCCATCAGACCACATACACACACACACACACACACACACACACACTTACGTTTTGTTTGTTTGATTTTCGAGACAAATTTTGTCTGTATACCCTTGGCTATCCTGGAACTCACTCTGTAGACCAGGCTGGCCTCAAACTCACAAGGATCCACCTGCCTCTGCCTCCTGAGTGCTGGGATTAAAGGTGTGTACCACCACTGCCCGGCTCCCTATGTTAATGGAATCTTCATAGAAGCAATAGTGAAGAATAACTTAAGACAACTTTCAGTTACTTATACTGAAAACAGCCTCAAATACAAAACTTTTAAAAAGCACAGCTAATGCCTCAAACCAAATAACTCATTTATCTTTTTAAACAAGCCCTCATCCATATTCATATATTTTGAAATATATTTGGTCATATGGAATTATGTTTGGTAACCTCCCAAAATATATTTGGCTACACTTCATACAGTTTATCATTCATATAATGATTTAAGCTAAAAAAAACAAGATAACAAAACTCAAAAAACAACTGCCTTCCATTCTGTCAAAGAATAAAGTCACCAGTCTTCCAGGCAGCTCTGAAGGGCATTTTTGGAAATTAGGGCCCAATTTCTTCAGGATGAGCGAAATTTTTCTAACAGTGCCTCAGCACAAAAAAAGGTCCCAGTTTTTATTCTGTAAGTAAAGATTTTAAAACAAAATAAATCCCCTCTACATAACACCTGTCTTTGTCATTAATTTAATGAGAGAACAGTTCAATGATAATAAAATGGCCATAAGACCAGAATATAAGGAAAATCACTGCTTTCTGTTTTAACCCTATTTTTTTTTCATTCACCGAAGACCTGTGGAAACACTTTCCCAATCAGTTCTGCATTGTGGGATATTTGTACACTGTATATTGGTGTGATTGGTGTAATAAAAGGCTCAATGGCCAACGACTAGGCAGGAGGTATAGGTGAGGTTTCTGGGAAGAGAAAGTAAGAGGAGAAGGACTCTAGAAGGGTGGAGTCACCAGACAGAGAAGGAACAGGAGGCGCAAGGAAAGAGAGGTAATGCCATGTGGCAGAATGTAGATTAATATAAACGGGTTAATCTAAGTTATAAGAGCTAGTTGAGACAAGCCTAAAGTAAAGGCCAAGTTGTCATAATTATTAAGAAGTTTCTATGTTATTTGTGAGCTGGATGTCAAAAGAAAACTCCACCTGCATTTGGCGCCCAAAGTGGGGCATACAATTCAACGTAGGGACTGAGAAAATGGAAAAAAGTTCAGAGTAGAATCAGTGCTTGCAGCGTACACAGGCACAGGTCTTTTAAGAGGACCTGCTACCTAGCACTTGGGGTTTACGAGCACCTAACAGCACCCTACTAGGTGGCAGGAGACAAGGCAGAAAGGCCTACTGCAGTGTGAACTCAGAAACTTCCCAGAACTGGGGTGGACAGACCAGCTCCAGCCTGGGGCCCACAGGTTTTAGGCTCCACTCTCACTAACCTGAAGGGGGCAGAGCCAGTCACCAGGTCATGTGCTACATGGAACGAAGTGGAGGGCCTAGGTGCTGCTCAGCAGTTTAAGGTTTGGCTTACATGGTCAGAGAACACTGTGAGAAAGTCAGGTCTAGACTGAGAAAACCTCTGAACAGATACAGTATGCTTAAAAATGTACTTAGATGCTAAAAAAAGAAAAGAAATGGGTACAGACAGTCTTAAAAAACACATAGTTTAAAAATAATAGTCTTTAAAGAGAGAGTACAATAATATAAAAGGAAAAGGCCATGTAAAGGGAGGAGTGATGAGCTGAGCAAAGGGGTCAAGACCATGCTGGGGAAACCCACAGAAACAACTGACCTGAGCAAGTGGGAGTTCACAGACTCCAGTCTGACAGCTGGGGAACCAACATAGGACCAAACCAGGTCCCCTGAACGTGGGTGTCAGTTGGGAGGTTCCGGCAGTCTATGGGGCCCCTGGCAGTGGAAACAGTATTTATCCCTAGTGCACAAATGGGCTTTGGGAGCCCATTTCCTATGGAGGGATACTCTGTCAGCCTAGATACACGGGGAGGACTTAGGTCCTTTCCCAAATGATGTAACTGACTTTGATGATCCCCCATGGGAGGTCTCACCCTCCTTGGGAAATGGATGGGAGGACGGGATGGAGAGGGAACTGAGATTAGTATGTAAAATAAGATTGTTTTTAATTTAAATAAAAATTTATTAAAAAAAAAAAAGATGTGCCTGGCGATGGTGGCGCACGCCTTTAATCCCAGCACTCGGGAGGCAGAGGCAGGGGGATCTCTGTGAGTTCGGGGCCAGGCTGGACCGACAGCCTCCGAAACAATACAGAGAAACCCTGTCTCGTAAAAACCAAAAATAAAAAAATAAATAAAAATAAATAAAAAGAGATGTAACGTTTATAAGGTTGAGAAACATAAAAGCTTGAGTTGTTTATCTAAGAAGATGTTTTAAGGTTTAAAAAGATATTTTTAGGATGACAATACAAGTTATGCTAGAAAACAGTTTAGGTATAAAACTTTGGACTTATTATGATAGAATAGAAAATTCAGTACTTTCTCCAAATTTGCCAAATACATATGGACTAAACACTGAAAATGTAATTCTGACCTAATTGCTTTATTGTGTGTAGTTTTACTATGTTAGAGTTACAACCCTTCCTTATTTAGATAAAAGGGAGAAATGCTGTGGGATAGTAGTACCCTGTATGAGGGTGTATTGCTGTGGGTGGAGTAATAAAAGGCTGAACAGCCAATAGCTAGGCAGGAGGTATAGGTGGGACTTGAGGGGAGAGAAAGGAAGAGGAGGAATCCAGGAGGTCAGAGTCACTAGCCAGCCAGAGGACACAGGAGGTGAAAGATGGAAGAGAGGTCTTTCCATGGCAGAACAGAGATTAAGATAAACAGGTTAATGTAAGTTGTAAGAGCTAGTTGAGACAAGCCTAAGGTAAAGGCCAAGCTTTCATAATTAATAAGAAGTCTCTGTATCTGTAAGCTGGAGGCCAAAAGAAAGTTCCGCCTACAGTTCTGAGAAAAACGATTAAATCAACTGAAGGACTCAAATATTTGCTTGAGCTAGGAATGTAACTCGAAGTGAAGAGCTTGCCTAGTATGTGTGAGGTCCTGGGTGAGCACCCTCGCGCCGAAAACCAAGAAACAAACAGTAAAATGTCTTTGCTTAAAAACAAAGTATTAAAAAATAATAATAACCAGCTCCCAGTACATGAAACTACTCTTTGGTTCACAGCTGACATTAATAAACACAAGGCAGGCCTGTGGGACCCCAGGTATTTGTGTTGTGTTCTAGGACACAAACACACTCAGAGAATTAAGTTCCTCGGGGACATTAAAATGAGACAAAGCAAGTTGGGTCGTGATCTTGTCCACACGTGAAGAATGAGCAGCATGTAGCTCTCCAAACACAACACACCCTTCCCACTGCCAAGAGAAAAGAATGCCACTTGTTATCCAGGTATTCCTCAGCGTTCTAAAGACACCAAATCTAGAACCAATCCTGGATTAAACCAAATTCTCTAACATGTTGGTTTTTTTAAATTGTTGTTGTTTAACCCATGGTTGAAGAGGTTCTTTCTCAATCCTCCCCTTCAACACCAGACCTAATTTACTCAACTACTACTATGTCCCTTTGGTAATCTTTGGATAAAAGGCACAGGCTACCAAAATACCACAGCCTTTAACAACTCTCAGAAACCCAACCTACCTCAGAAAATTAGTTCTCTATCCACACCAGAGCAAACAGTTTGTTCTTATCATCTTTCAATCGTTTGTACATACTATATGGCTTTTGGTCACTGAAATTATTCATATGTATGCTTTTCTGCATTCTACTTTTATTTGCTAAGTGTTTATTCTGGTGACTGGATAATAACCTGCCCTTTTTTTTTTTAAGTCAAAAAGCATTTCTCTTTCCAGGAATAAAATAATAAACTCCTACTGTTGCCACTTTCAAGGTCCCGTCTTTTCAACATTATGTTATCCGCCTCAGATAAGATACATCCAGGTTCCTAGTTATTAAATTTGCTGGCAACAAAACAAAGCAAAACAAATAGCCTTCAGATCAATAGCTTGTAAGACACACACACACACCCACACAGAGAGAGAGACAGAGACAGAGACAGAGACAAAGAGAGACAGAGAGAGAATGAATCAATTTATGAAGTGTCGGTGTCAGGCTGAGACTGCAGCCAAGAGCCTGAATTTAGAAATGTTTCTGTCAATAACGATGTGACCTCTGGCTAGATTATCACTCTAGGACTACTTCCTCTTGTACTTACATGCAAGAGTCGTGCTAGTCCCTCACTGTCTCTTGCGGTTTTAGAAAATACAGTCTTGTGGCCTTTGCGACTTGGTCGCGCAGCACCACGGGACAGACATTCCGTGACTGGGCTTGAAAGCGACTGGGGTTGCAGGGGGGGGGGGCGACTTCACCATCTGGGCTAAGACTGCATGTGACCCACAGCTTCCTGCGTGGGCTTCTTCAGGAGAAAGCACTTGGCAAGCAGGCAGCATATGCCAAAGTCGACAGGCAATCGGTAGTCTTTTCCCTAGAGGGTTCTGCCTATAGCTGGTAGTTCAAACAGCACCATCAAGACTGGAGAATGAGTGAATCCTACCCAGTCGTTCATGGAAGCTAGAGCTTCCCCCTGTTGTGTTCTCTTCCCAGAGAGCACCCAAGCGACTCCGTCCGGGACTCCCAAGGCGTGTCTGCATCCACGCTCCGCGAGACTGAACCTCGGGTCCCCGGAAGATGCAGCCGGCGAGCAGGTGTCCCTTTGCCCCCACCCGCCCACCCCAGCTGCTCCCGCCTCCCGCCTGCGCCTGCACCTGCACCTGCACCCCCATCTGCGCCTCGGCTGGAGCTCACCCACCGGCGGCACTTGCTGTGCCTGGGCGCAGGTGACAGCCGCGGCCAGGAGGACCCAGCTGAGGAGACTTGGGCCCAGCATCTTCCCAGCTGCCCGCGCCGCTCCAAGGGACTCCCTCAGCAGCCGCAGCCGGGACCACCTCGGCCGGGAGCAGGCCGCACCCCCGACGCGTGACCGGCGACCCCGGGCCACACCATACAGTGCGGGGGACACGCCGGAGACCTCGGGCCCCACGAAGGACTCCGCGCACAAGGCCAGAGAGAGGCTCCGCCCCCGCACTCCAGGCAGTGGTTTCGTCCAACATTAGTCCCGCCCCGGGGCGTGGCTTCCCGCTTCCCTAGGACTTCACCCTCTTGGATTGCCCTAGCTGGGATCCGAGTGCTGGAAGGTACCTGGGGCGGGAACCTACTGATTCGGGGGAGGTCGGCTCTTAGGCGTCCTGGTTCCTAAGCCCACCAAACGGACCCAGAGTCTCAGAGCGTGACGTCAGACCCAGTTTGCCCTCCGGGGAAGGCTGGCCCCAAGTGAGTCATCCACTCCATTCTGCCCGAGGGGGTCACTGCCCGAGGGGCAGGTGTCAGGGCCAGGATGGGATGTTTTTTTCTTCACTCCGGCACTCTAGGCTGTGAGTTACCCGCCTGGGATTTCACGGCTCTGCTAAATCCTAAAATTTGGACTTTAATTTCTCTCTCTTATGTCCGGGGTTGGAGAGGTCGAAGGGTTGCGACCTTCCTGCATGTATTTGTTGAGTGTTTTAGCTTAGCGCATGAGATTTCAGGTAGACAGGTATCTTCATAGTCTACTTCTGAAAAACAGATCGATACAAGTACAATATTTGCTTGGCTTTTGCACCATCCTTGGACAAGGCTCGCGGAGTTACCTAGAATCCAACAAGAAAACTTGCCTTCTGGATTTACATTTTCTGCTTCAACGACAGACTTCTCAAGAAGTTTGGGGTTTTATTGGGGGGAGTGGTGGACGCTGCATTAAAGGTCATTCAGAACCATTAAATTTTTATTTTCTCCCCACCATATACCGATAGTGGGCAATCTGTATTTCTCCTTTCTTTTATGTGTGTGTGTATTTGTATGAAATCGTAGTTTTAGCAGTGGCATTGCTCCCTTAGAACACGCAAACAATCCTTGTTGAAGGTTGGAAAATTGGAAGTGGATGCGGTTTTCACCACCTATATTTGGAGGCACATGATAAACAAATTGTACTAGTTGAGGAAGTTTAGGTGTTGAAACACAGCACAGGATTGGCACATACTTGGGTTCCTGCTTAGGTAAGCAACATCAGAAAATACTTTGAATGGGGACACTGAGGGCGGCTGAAGGCTCCAAACTCAGCAGTCTGAGGCAGAAGGCTCTTTTCAGTCACTGATTGTATCATTTCAAACCAGTCTAGACAACAAAGCAAGACTTCATCTCCAAACAGAGCAAAACAGGGAATGCTAGAGCACACAGTTCTCTTCTGACACTGGATATGAGGAAGCAACAAAAAGACATAAAGGTCTTCCCTTATGAAACTTACTAGATACGAAATAAACAGTAGACACCACGCGTGTGTGCGTAGTCTGTAAACGAAAGCAGAAGGCTGTAAATGCTCCCGGGCAGAAGTATGGAGTATGTAGAGGCTGGGAAGGGGGTTAGCATTCTTAGCAGCCGGGCAGGGTGGGCATTATTGAGAAGGGTGGCTTTGAACAGTAAGTGGTGGGAAATCAGCCTCGTGGATGCCAAGGAAAGGATGAATCCTGGAAGCCTAGCGCCGTTGCGGTGCAAAGGCTGAATAGTGAGACTGAGACTGAACATGATGCGTTTTTATCACCAAAATGAGAAATGTCTGGGGAGAGATGCTTAACCTGATGTGAAGATTACATGTTGCATATTACATATCAGAGCACTATGCTGCACTGCATCTCTATGCAGTTTCATGTTTTATGTATGTTAAAAATGCATCTTTAACAAGTGAAGTGCTACAACTTGGTTCTAAATATTGTAGTGCTAAATTCAACTACTTCAGGACTTTCAAGCTCATTTCTTCATGCTCACCAAAACTGAAGAAATAATGTATATCCATATAAATGCTTTCAAAATAAAAGCATTTCATAGAACAAAAAGCAAAGCAAAACAAACAAAAACAAGGACATTAGCAGAAACGAAAGAAACTAGGAAGCATGATTGTTAATTTTTTTACCACTGAGCCACCTCCCTGGCCCTTTTTGTTAATTTTTTAACTAACATATTCAACTATTCCAGAAAATTCAGTTCAGCATATTCAGCTATATCAGAAAAGCCAGTGTGGCTTGAGCAGAGGAATGTGGGAGAAATAAATGAAGTCAGAGGTAAGGAAAGGAAAGCAGATTAAAGACAAGGGCCATTGTAGAGACTGGGACTTCACTCTGAAATTTAATAACGCTGAATAAACATGTTCAGTGTTGAATCTGCTGAACTACCACAAAATTCAAAATATGTTTATCAGAAGTAGAGAATCCCGTTTTGAAGGAGCTATTACCAAACCAAATGGCTACTTGATTAATTCACCTTAATTACTATTGAGAGCAATTTAGCATGTCACCAGACATCTTTTCCTTGTGAAATAGTATTTGGTAGTTAGGTGATCTAACAAACTTAGATGCCATATAAAGAAAGTTCACATGAATTGGCATGATAAGCATGTGCACAATCTTCATATAAATAACATTCAAAATCTACCCTGTACTGTTGATTTTTCTTTTCAGATAAAATAAAACTTACATCTACTTCCTTGAAGCACAGCATATTATGTATGTCTTCCCTCACCCCCCCCCCCCCACATCTGTTTTTTGAGTGTACAGTGCTGGGCACTGCACCTGGGATTTTGCAAATGCTAAATGAGGCTTATATTCCTGACTTCTATCCCTAGCCCCCTTTTTATTTTTTGAGTCAAGGCTTCACCAGGCTGGATTAGAACTCAGACTTTCAAGTGTCTAATATTACAGGTGTCTAATCTTTTTTTAAAAAAACTAATCAATTTCCAATGCTAAAAATGTACAGAAAGAACAAGATGTGACTATAGGAAACTTTATAGTGATGTAAGCATACTCATGTATTTATAGAGATGATATTGAAATATATATGTGAATGATTATGTGTGTAGAAAGGGAGATAATTCAAATTCTCCAGAGAATATCAAGTCTGAGAGTTGGATAACCTGTTTAGCATGCAAAAGTCAGTGTATTTAAATTGTTTATAGGAATAGCTGTAGGCAAATCATAGCCTTTCAAATCTCCTACCTACCATGCCTAGGTTACCCAAGTGGAGCTTTGATTTAAAATAATTGTAACCTAATCTGCCCACCCTAAATGAAATATAGCACTTACCCAGAAAGTATGACTTGATTTAATAAATACAGAGTATATAACAGTTTGAACTAGAAGGTAAGAAACATGGAGGTAATACTTCAGTTTGAAAATAAGTGTTTTAACAGAATAATTTACCAAATTTAAATATCTGTTCTTACAAGCAAAAACAAAAAGCTTTGAGGGGCTCGGTATGTTTTTAGATGCCTATAATCCTAGAACTTCAGGATTGTAGCTTTATAGTAAGCCTGTGAGACCCCTGACACAATTTCAAATAAATTAGATGTGTATTTTTTTTTAGTTTTTCAAGACAGGTTTTCTCTGTGTATCCCTGGCCGTCCTGGAACATTGTAGACCAGGCTGGCCACGAACTCACAGAGATCCACCTACCTCTGCCTCCGGACTGCTGGTATTAAGGGTGTATGCCACACTTCCCAGCAATTACATTTAATTTTAAAATGCCTGGTACAATTAAATTGTCATATGTGTTTTAAAAGAAGTTTTTGTCTGTCTTTCAGAAATGAATACAGTGGTAAGAGGTGAAAAATAGAAAACCAGAGGTCATAGCACATTTTCTCTTCTGGTTGCTTTATCATGCCATGTTGTTACTTGCTATTGTTTTTTGGTTTTGGTTTTTTTCTCTTAGCTTTTAGACTTAAAAAATGTGAAATACTACTTCAGCCTGAGATAAAGTGATACTTTTTCTGTTACAAAACTAAAAATTTAGAACTCACATTTAATCTAATTGTCTCTCTGTAAATGTAAAAATAAAGGTTATAATAATCTTTCCATTTGTACTAAGTCCTTATTTCTTTGTGAAACATTGTGCTATTATTGAATCAATGATAATCCAAATATGTTACATTTTGAAGAGCCACTAAAAAAACCCCTGTCCTGTTTTACTTTTTCCCCTTAATGAGATATACTTCTGACCAGGGTATTAGTCATTTATTTTTTCTTATGTCCCAGAGTCTTGTACATTCTAAACATGAATTTCACTTATAATTGAGCTATAGCCCTGGCCTGAAGGTTCCTTTCAATTTACATCCTACAATAGCTAACCTGTTCTAACTTTATGTATCACCTACATTTCATAAATGATTGTAATTAGCTATTTAATGCTTCAACAAATTGTTTCTAGTGTGTCTGCAATAAATTTATTCTCTCAGAAAGATTGAGCTTTTAACATTGGCGCTTGGAAAAGAATGAATAAATGAGCATTGTCCTTTAGAGGCTTCAGTCTCCCAGCAGAAAAGAGTGAAAATGGAAGGCAAACTATAAATCCAATGAGTATCTTGAAAAGTTCAGTATAGTTAGCCCATGAAGCCAGACCTACTCTGGCTTACCTGGTGGCTGTTTCCCAGATCTCAATTCCTGTCCTGTAGCAGCTCCAGGATTTGAATGAGACATAACCCCATCCCTTTGGGGGTAGGCCCTGACTGGCTTATGACATCTACAATTATTCTGTTCCACTTGCTGAAATGCTTGGCTCATGTCTTACCCAGATGCTTGTATCAAACAAACCTATTTGAAGCCTAGGACTCATGTTATATAGTCAAAGCAGTTGCCTTCTGTCTTCTGACAGAAAAGAGGAAGTTAGCAATCCAATGCTGCTGGCATTCAAGGCACAAACTTTCAGGGAGCCACCTATGATCAAGTAGATACAGTGGACAGAGCAGTGGAAAGATTAAAAGAAACTGGGTCATCGGTGACATTGTTAGGATGTTAGGTCAATCAACCACAGAGCCTGTCTGACAACTGGACTCTATGTTTCCATGAGCCACTACACTGTATTGCTGAAGCCTTATTACAAAGCTCAAGTTGCTTTGCTTGCACAGTGGATTGTTGTGGTGAAGAGCAACCTCCTGACATCTACAGAAAAATGTGTATCATCTTCTAAATAGCAGAAGAGGATTACTGTAAAGTCACGGTGCTTACTCCTTCACTCCTTAAGCTTGCTGGCCTCCTACTAAATTTTATGTTTCTAATTTTGTATTTGTTTCTTCAGAAAGAACCACACAAATCACATGAACTTCGGACCTCACAAAACCAAGACCTACATCAGATATTTTGGGAACGAGAACTTGACCTTTCTCTGAGTTCTTCCGGTCATATCTCCCTAAGGGAGGAGTGACTTACCTAATAGGTAGATAGATAGCTGTAAGAGTCATAGTACATGCGTGTCTTGGTCTTTCCTTGGCTCTCTCATTCACATCTGCCTTCCACAGCAAGATGCTCACTGTACACAGCCCTGAATGACAAGACCTGAAGTAGAAATAGTTGCTGCCTTTGACCATGTTTTCCCAGACAGTCAGATCTCCGAAGAATCTTCAAAATACACTTGTAGCATGTCAGCTTGTAAATTCCAGAGAAAGGCTTCTTAAGATGTGTAGAGAAAGTAGTCAAGGAGGGGAGGCTTCTATAAGTCCTTGCCACCAGGCTGCCAGTGGCCAAGGCACTGGCCCTACTCCATCTGCACCCTTCACTCATCATACCCTCTTATCCTAAAAACTGGCTGTGTGCCCAGGATGCAATTTGTGTATGCAAGTAACTGGATGTGGTGGAATGTTATTTTAAGATGTGTTGGGACAGGGGAGATGGCTCTGAGATTAAGAGCACTGACTGCTCTTTCAGAGCAATTCCATGGTGGCTCACAACCATGTGTAACGAGATCCGGTGTCCTCTTCTTGCATGCAGACATACATGCAGGAGGAACACTGTACATAATAAATAAATAAATCTTTTTTTAAAAGTTGTGATACATTTGTTTATGATGTAGAACATTTGTTTTAATGATGTAAAGATGTGTTGCATTCTTTTATGCTGCATTTATTTAACTCTATGAAACTGTGTTACTTTGCCTGTCTAAAACACCTGATTGGTCTCATAAAGAGCTGAATGGCCAATAGCAAGGCAGAAGAGAGGATAGGTGGGGATGACAGGCAGAGACACTAAACTGAAGGAGAAAAAGAGGGATCTGGAAGTAAGAGAGACGCAAGGTGCAAGAAAAGAAGGGCCCAGCCACACAGCCACATAGCCAACCTCGGACTAAGAATGAAAGTAGATTACAGAAGTAAGAAAAGGGAAAAGGCCACAGGGAAAAGAACAAAAACAAAGATAGATAACTTAAGCAAAGCTGGCAAGAAACAAGCCAAGGTAAGGCCTAGCATTTATAAGAATTAATTCCCTGTGTATGATTATTTGGGAGGTGGGTGGCAGGCCCCCCAAAGAGACAAACTATAAAGCCAACAACAATTGGATGTACATATTCACTCCAGAGGAAAAGATGAAATCTTATTTTGGCGTGAGGCCTAAGCTGATGCCAGCAACAAAAACTGATCTTTAATCCTATCTAATATCTGTGTATGCTTCTCAGAGAAGTATGATGGTCACGTTGACAAGTAAAACCAATTGCAACAATTGTGGCACTAGTCTATGTATAAAAAGGTATAACTGACTATATGTACAAGCATAAGCGTAGATGCTATCAAAGATATGCACACTAGTAACACATGAATGCCAAATCTCAAGTTTATAACTAAAAAGAAAATAATCCATACTCAACTCGCACTCGAGTAGTTTATCCAAGCCCTGTTTGTGGATTTGATTAGATTGAACATAGGAACTGGCATTTGGAGGCAGGGCCTTTAAGAGGTGATTTCATGTGGTCTGTACCTCTTGGGTTGGATTGAAGCCTGCATCAAAGAGACCCGTCATGCCGCTTTTGGTCTCTCCTGCCCTTTGCCTTTAGCTATGTGAGTATGGAGTAAGGAGGCTCTTATGGGAGGCTAGAACTCTGATAATGAACTTTCCATCTCTAAATGTGAGGCAATTTAAAAAATTTTAAGAGTGTGTGTGTGTGTAGACAGGGTCTTAGAATGTTGTCATGCCTGGCCTAGAACTTGCTATACAGACTAGGCTTGCCTTAGACTTGTAGTTTACCCAGCTCTGCCTGTCCAGAGCTGGAATTACAGAACAATGACACAATGCTGAGCTACATTAACCAGTCCTAAGCAGATTTTGTTGTTGTTGTTGTTGCAGGATGAATAAACCATGACATGACACACCATCACTTTCCCCATTTTCTTAGTAAACAACAATTCAATTTGTCTATTTGGCTTAGAAAAAAAGTCTTTTGGTCATCTTTGACTTTTATCTTTCTTGATACACACTCACGACACCAGCAAATCTTATTGGATTTACCTTCAATCTGTATGGTACCCAGAATCTGACATTTCTGTACACTCCCATTGCCTTAGTCTAATGACTGAATTATTCCCATATTATCTTTATAAAGACCAAGTTCTTCTCTCCTTAAAACCACCCAGTTACTTACCTGTTTCAGAATAAAAGCCAAAGCTATTACCATGAGCTATAAACCATTCTGGGCTGGTAGCCCCCTGCTCCTTCTCTGATCTCTCACCCCACCAGTTTGTCCTTTTTTTCATGGCACACCAGCTTCTCAACCTCTTTTCTTGCCCTCATGCATGCTAGCAATGGCTCATATAAGGACCTTGACACTTACTATTCAGTCTTGTAGCATGTTCTGTCCTAGACATACACATGGCTCACTCAAATGTTCGAATAACTCCTTTAATGGTTTAGTCCATCCAGAGTCCGCAATCACCCTGTAGATGATCTCTAGGTTCCCAGAACTGATGGACCTAATCCTAAACGTTATCACCACCTACAGTTTTACTCTATTTGACCAATGTCTGTCTCCCTCTAGCCAGAACGTAAGATCCATGAAGTCAAACTTTTTTAATTGTTATAGTCTCAGTATTTAAATAGTACAGTGTTTGGCATGGTTTATGAATAGTTATTTAATATATACATTAACTAAAATAACTGTAAAATAATTGTATTCAGATCATATACCAAGTGATAGCTACAATAATATAAAGAATAATGGATCAGTGATAGATGGCATTCCAGATAGGTTGACTTGGAAATCAATATAGATATGAAATAGATACTGTAGTCTCCATCTTATAGGTTGAATACTAAATTGTGTACTGAGAAGTTATGCCTAATTCTTCAAATTCTGAGGCATGTACACTTAGCCACTACATAAATTTCCAGGCCAGACCACAAAGCTCTGTTTTATGTCAACTAGAGTCATCTTAATGAGGACCTTCCAACCGAGAAATGTATCCATAAGATCTGCCTGTGGGCAAGCCTGTGGTGCATTTTCTCTGTGATGTCTTCTGTGGGAGGGCCCAGCTCACTGTGGGCAATGCCGCCCCTATGTTGGTGCTCCTGAGAGCTATAAGAAAGAAGACTGAGCAAAACATGGGGACAAGTCAGTAAACAGTGCTCCTCTACAGCTTCTACATCAGCTCCTGCCTCCAGGTTGATCTCATTCCTGGCCATCTTTCCTGTCTCCAGATTCTATATATGGTCGTTAAATGCTATTTCATATCTGATTTACAACAAGGCAAAACCGAACCCATTCTCTGCTTTCCAAATCTTCTTTTACTAAATCAAATGCTAATGCTGGGAATTTAGGAGTTGCCGTGACTTATGTTTCCTTGATCTCTTGCATTTAATGTAAGGGTTGAGATAATTTGTTATACTTAATCACATCACTTCTCATTGCAAACACGGTAGTCCAGGCTGCTCTAATTTCTGGCCTCTCTACCACTGTGATGAATTTCTATACGGACTCATCATTTTCTTTCTTCTTCAAAATAACCTATAAAATGCAATCTGACAATGAGACTGGGCACACTCAAGATAGTATGACGTGGACTCTAAAATGCAGCCACAGCCAGAGTAACCTTTCTTTTTATGTTTCCTTGCTTCTTATTTTGTGATAGGGCCTCACTGTGTATCTCTGGCTGGCCTGGATCTCAGAGAGATCCACTGGCCTTTGTATCCCAAGTACTGAGATTCTCCCAGAATGCACTGTTTCACTTGGTCAGAATAATCTTTTAGAAATGAAAATCTGACATTACTTCCTGCCTTTCAACAGTCTCCCCTAATAGCATTGCAGTCAAGTCCAGAATCTTCAACATGTCTGGGAAAACTCACATCAGAAGCTCTGTTGCCTCTGCCTTTTCTTTTTACTATACCTGACTCATTCTCTCTCAGTCAGAAAGCAACTCATCTAAAAACAGGGCTCCATCCTATTTCAGTGTTCTGAATCCTATGCATGGCATATTTTCCTGTG